CAACTAGTGCCATAGCACAGAGCAAGCATTGTGCACTTGCATTATACACAGTTTTTGTTTTGTTTGTTTCCTTCATTCTTTTTGTTTTGCCTAATGTGAACATGATAAACTGGAATATATGATATCTGTATGAACTATTTTACATGTATTCTGCTAATTTATTATTTACTTGTGAATTGTTCAATAAATAAATAATAATCAGAAAATCTGTCTGTTCATTGCTTCTTCTACCACAAAGCTCAATTTTCCACTCACAATTCTAGAATGTGGTCCTTTCCATGGCCACAAGTCTACAATAATATTAGCCATAAACTTCCAGATGTTGTTCAGTTTGCTCATACCTCCTCATTACTGCAAAACAATGCACTGGTCTCCAAGCAGTCATCATCATCATTCTTTGTTCTCAAATACAAACCACTCTGCAACCTACCATTCCATCTACTCATTTACCTTCCCCTATATACCAATGTGTCCACTTTATCACCATAAACCTTACGTTACCCATATCATCCATGTGAATCTTCTCAATTCCACTCCTTCCTAGCCCCATGCTACTGGAATATATGCCCCTGTCCCATCCAATCTACATCATCCCTTGAACATTCCTAAAACTCATGAGAAATTCCTATTTATTACATCTTTCTTTTATGATGCATAGCTCAAGCTGTGGCATGTGTTGGCGCTATATAAATAATATAATATAATATAATATAATAACCGCATACATACCTCTTTAAGTATTGGTTGGGTAATGAATAAACAAGTTACTTTTACCTTCTCTCTATTTTCTGATATCATATTTAATCCTCTTACTAAGCTTCTAAGATAGCACAAAGCATTTAAAACATAGCAACTTGCCATTTTAATGTTATGTTAGTTGACAATGATTATTTTTTTTAATATACATTGATTTTTTTTTTTAATATTAAAAAAAAAAAACACAATGCATAAAATTTTTCTACAGAAACAACAAAAGGAGGAGAGTAATCCCCAACTAGGGAGACACTCAGTGCTGGTATAAGTGTTGGAATGCACTTAAATTATTTACAAAGAATAATAATGACTTGCTTGGAGGTAATGGGTATGAATAGAGGGAAAGGATACAGTTATAATGCTGTAATGTGTATCCAACAAAATATAGAAACTTTATTAACCTTATATACATAAAGGATAAAATAGCAGCAAAAATAACAAAAAAATTGATACTGGTGAATGAAAGTACCAATATTCCCCACTGATTTCTTATATGAGGTCCAAATATAACAGTTGGTTCATTTGTTTTGCTAAATTGTCCAGGTGCAGTTTGGACCTCTGTATATTGGGAGGGGGATTATTCACTAAGTAGACATAATTAAGTTTCCCTCAACAAGGCTGTAAGTAAAATCACAGGGTGACCTGATTAAGATAATAATAATAATAATAATAATAATAATAATAATAATGATGAATATTGGATGATATAGATCTAGTGGACACCTCTATTGTCCATAAATTGGATGAGGCTATACATTACAGTTTAGGGGGCTTATGACGACTTCTCCTACTTGTTGGAGATGCTAATGAGAGAGTATATGTACAGTGATTGCTAAGACACCAAAGGACGGGACACTGGAAAAAGGTAAGCATTCATTCATATGGTCCACAAGGTGACCGCTGCTGCTTTTCCCTAAATCTCCTAGGTGGGTGTTCTATGCTTCAGCTGTTTCTAAGATAACGTACGGTCATTACCAAAAATAGCCATACCAAATCATCACTCCAAGTTAATGACAGTAGAGTTACGAACAAAAAGAAAAGAAGGGGGTCTAAATACCCCAAACGTGCATAATAGAAGTGCTCCGTGAGGATTAAAAATAGAAGATGACAGGGAAGATGACAGGGAATCTCTCTTTTTCTATTCTATCATAAAAAAAAATTCTGGCTAAGTTGTTTAAAAGCATATAATTATATAGTAAAAAAAAATATGCTTCAATATTAATTTGTTTTTCTGTATGTGTAACATAGGTTTGCAGCTCTAAAACAATCGAGAAATACAACATGACCTTAATTATCTAACTACCTCCCCCTGCACCCTCTCTCCCCCCAAAAAATACAAATAAATAAGTTAACCAATAAGCTTGTATCCATGGATGGTAGGAATAGCTATATTAAAACTCCTTTTAGTCTCAGCCAAGTGGTTTCATCTCACAACTACCCATGCCCAACAAGAACTCCACTGACCAGGGATATTTAGAGCTAGTTACACTGATCAGCCACAACATTAAAACCACCTGCCTAATATCCAAAAACAGCTCTGATATGTCGAGGCATGGACTCCGCAAGACCTCTGAATGTGTCCTGTGGTATCTGACACCAAAATATTAACAGCAGATGCACTTTCTGCCTAATATATCCCACACCTTCACAAGTGCCATTGTAACAATATAATCAATGTTACCCACTTTACCTGTTAGTGGTTTTAATGCTGTGGCTGATCAGTATATATAGACTGAAAAAATGTTTCAATCTTGCAACAAACTAGAAAAAACATGTGTTCTGGACCCCAGCATGGCAGAATGCTAGCCAGATCTCTCCTTGGATCCTACCTATTTAGACTGGCTGGCCACACTGTGGCTCTTCCAGTAACATATAAGCCTAAAGAAAGAATAAGTATTATATACTTGAATTTTAAATCAAAACTAGAAAAATTGTGCCACATATTTTTTTTTCTCCAATATGGGGGATAACCCCTAGTGAAAAAGAAAATTCAACAAAAATATACAAAAGGCAAAAGGCCACAGTAACCTAAGGTAAGGGATCAAGGTTTTGACAAAATCAAATATAAAGGCAGAGCCTCAGCTGGGTTTGTACTGATAGGTATGAACCTATAAATACGTTTAGAAAGTTTAAGTTACTGTGGTCTATACGTACAGCTTAGACACCAACAGAATCACTGTGCCTGAAATAGCCCCTAGTCTCAGATACCAACATACTTTATCTGTTGAGACTGACTCTTTCATCACATTAGTCTGCTTTTTCATTAATAGACAATAGGCTATTTTGATACTAGTCTCTGAATGAGGACATATTTTGGTTTTATTATTATTTGCCTCCAAGTTTTTCCCACCCCTTTTATGTTGTTTCTATTAAAAGTTAAGTTTTAACATATTTATAGAGGTTGCACCTTTTTTGTTATGTACCCTCTTTTTTGATTTATTTTTTATTTCCCACAATCAGTTGGGAAACCCGCTCTAGAGGATATTTTATCACAATCCTATTTTCTCCTGCCCTCCTTTTGCCTTTTGTTTATATATTTGAATATTCAGAGGTTGTATGAATAGACAGGTGCATATCAATGTATAAATATCGGATTTTCCCACTTTCAGTAATGCATCGTGTCTATAACTTATTGCTTGCACCAGAATCAGCTCTTACACCTGTTCGGGTTCTGCCACATTTTGCTATCTCTATAATCATAACCATTGTATTTTCAAAACATAAGTACATTTAGAGCATTTTTTTTTAATTAGGCGATTTTGAAATTCCATATTTATATTTTGTTCCTTGTTGATATATCCAGTGCGATCCAGATTGCCCTTGGCACAGGATGAATGCAGCTAGCAAGATTCTGCCTGTGCATCTATTTAGCAGACATTCATCCGTGTAATGTAATGGCAATAATAATAACTTCAAATATAAGTCTGTATTTCTAAGAATGAGCCACAGTGCAAACTCTGTATAACTACATACTGTTTTAAAACCTGTATATACCAACAAGTATAGGATGCACCTAATTTGAGCCAGGTGACATCTTCTGAAGTCATTCATTCATGCTTGAGTGGTTCAATATGTGCATAGTTGCTCATTAATAAACTCATTGAGTTATGAAGTATTCATCAACTCATTGCATAAAATGCTCAACTGTAATTTCAGACTCTTATGTGGATACACCTGTTATTTAATCAATTTAACACCTTAAGGACACATGACATGTATGACATGTCACGATTCCCTTTTATTCCAGAAGTTTGGTCCTTGTGGGGTTAAAACGGATCTGTGATAACATATTGTGAATGTAATGCCTCAAACATTTCCAACAATATTTTATTATATTTGTATGCTATAAAACAGAAATTTTATACTAACAAAATAATATATATACTATATATAGTAAAGTTGTTTACTGAATGAATTAATATATTTAAATTCAAAAAGCAATCACAAAATCATGTTTCTTGTTTATATGTGAACAAACATTGAACATTATCACAGTTATTCTTTGTGGTCCATTTTTTTTGTGTCAGTGTTCTCATTTGTAATGAAACATTTTAAATATTTATATAATGCATCAACATTTGACATTTAACAAAAATATTAAATAAAACAAAGTTTTTTTGTTTTTTTTTTACAACTACAAGTACCTTGTTTGTGTTGAAAATGTTTTAGTTGTATAACAGGCTGCCCCATGCCCCCCTTCTGTGCCATGCTATTTCCTCCTGTGCAATGCTATATCCTCCTGTACCATGCTGTTACCTCTTGTGCCATGCTGCTAGCTCCTGCACCATGAACTGTTATCTCTTGTGCTCTGCCTCCTCTACCATGCTATTACTGCCTGTGTAATGCTATTACTACATTTGCCATACTGTTACCTCCTGTACCATGCTGTGCCATGCTGTTATCTCCTGTACCATGCTGCTACATCCTGTGCCATGCTGTTCCCTCCTGTACCATGGTGTGCCATGCTGTTACATCCTGTGCCATGTTGTTCCCTCCTGTACCATGGTGTGCCATGCTGTTACATCCTGTGCCATGCTGTTACCTCCTGTGCTGTTACCCCCTGTGCCATACTGTTACCTCCTGTGTCATGATATTGCCTCCTGTGCCATGCTGTTACCTCCTGTGCCATGCTGTTACCTCCTGTGTCATGCTATTACCTCCTGTGTCATGCTGTTACCTCCTGTGCCATGCTGTTACCTTTGGTCCCATGCTGCTACCTCCTGTGCCATGCAGTTACCTTTGGTCCCATGCTGCTACCTCTTGTGCCATGCTGTTACCTTTGGTCCCATGCTGCTACCTCCTGTGTCATGCTATTACCTCCTGTGCCATGCTGTTACCTTCGGTCCCATGCTGCTACCTCCTGTGTCATGCTATTACCTCCTGTGTCATGCTGTTACCTCCTGTGCCATGCTGTTACCTTCGGTCCCATGCTGCTACCTCCTGTGCCATGCTGTTACCTTCGGTCCCATGCTGCTACCTCCTGTGTCATGCTGTTACCTTCTGTCCCATGCTGTTACCTCCTGTGCCATGCTGTTACCTTCGGTCCCATGCTGCTACCTCCTGTGCCATGCTGTTACCTTCGGTCCCATGCTGCTACCTCCTGTGTCATGCTATTACCTCCTGTGTCATGCTGTTACCTCCTGTGCCATGCTGTTACCTTCGGTCCCATGCTGCTACCTCCTGTGCCATGCTGTTACCTTCGGTCCCATGCTGCTACCTCCTGTGCCATGCTGTTACCTTTGGTCCCATGCTGCTACCTCCTGTGCCATGCTGTTACCTTCGGTCCCATGCTGCTACCTCCTGTGCCATGCTGTTACCTTCGGTTCCATGCTGCTACCTCCTGTGCCATGCTGTTACCTTCGGTCCCATGCTGCTACCTCCTGTGCCATGCTGTTACCTTTGGTCCCATGCTGCTACCTCCTGTGCCATGCTGTTACCTTCGGTCCCATGCTGCTACCTCCTGTGCCATGCTGTTACCTTCGGTTCCATGCTGCTACCTTCTGTGCCATGCTGTTACCTTCGGTTCCATGCTGCTACCTCCTGTGCCATGCTGTTACCTTCGGTTCCATGCTGCCACCTCCTGTGCCATGCTGTTACCTTCGGTTCCATGCTGCTACCTCCTGTGCCATGCTGTTACCTTCGGTCCCATGCTGCTACCTCCTGTGCCATGCTGTCCCATCCTATTCTTTTTTGAGGTATGTCTTCCTCTTATCTCATGCTTTCCTCCTGCTGTCCCACACCATTCTTGAGCTGTCTTGTTACTTCCTTTGTATGTAGCATGCCAATGCTTTTCCTTGATAGACCATGATGTCCTCTTGCTGTTAAATGCAGTCCCCTGCTATATTCCTACTGTCCCACCTATCATTTAACTGTTCTGTGAGGTTCCATGCTGACCGTTTGTGGCCTTCTTGTATTTGATACTGCCCTCCTGTTCACTCAGAATAGGTGTCTCTGAAAATATTGTCCTCTGGTATTAGTGGCTACTATGCTTTGCTTTCCTTTGACCTTGGTGGCAAATCTGTCACCCGCCTTTTCCCATCTATCCTAAGTCCAGCAGTCATGTTAGTCTCTTTAGCTACTTTCTGTACAACTTTCCCCATGCTTTCTGGCCATTAAAGATACTCATTGTGTAAATGGCTATTACCATGTTACTGTCGAAGCACATTTAGGCATCCTATTTCTGGTCAGTGAATGAGTTGTACCAAGTGAACTAAAATTTTCTTATGGTATATGTAAGGAATATACTCTACTACTGTCAACAACTATACTGCTGATTCTCAGTCAGTCTCTGTCAGGCAATGTTTATTCCGCTTTGAATATGTACTCATTTTCAGTCTCACTGACATACCCTAGACATTGTTGTTCTTCCCATGTGGATAACCTACATCTTAAAGTGACTTTTCAGTGACTCTAACAATATTTTAATGTAATTGTGTATTAATATTGTTTTTGTATTTGATTGTACCCTATTGTGTCAATGCAATGTTTTGTGGACCCAGAACATACTTGAAAACGAGAGAAATCTCAATGTATCCTTCCTGGTAAAATATTTTATAAATAATAATATTAAAATGTTTCAACAATCACTTTTAGATCACAAGTCTTCAACAAGATATGTTTAAATTCCAAGATGAACACCATGGCAAGTTCAATCTTCAGGATTTTACCTAAGGTACACCTTGTGATATAATCACTAAATATGTCAAAATTTTGTTTTTTTACAGCTACTTTTGCCTAAAATTTAAAATTTTGTTTTCAGTTCACCACTATAAATATTTAATAAACAAACTGTCACGTGTTACCGTTTCACTAGCTACAGCACTTAGTAAACATACACATAAATAATAATTCCAGTTCCCATTGGCTTTTTTGCTTAAATATGCCTTGATAAACCTAATTGTATATAAATAACTATCTAGGTGTTTAAGTGCCACTTCATTATATCATGACACTCTTAGTGCTATTTACTAAACTCTGCATTGTAGAGAATTGAAATCAGAATGGCAAAGGTCAGGCTAAACAGCCAAGTTTTGACTACAGATGACTTTGAGATGTTTTTCGGATGAATTGTTTTAGATAACATTTTACCATTGCGTTTTTTATTAACTGCAATGAGTAAATTACTGCATAAAACCCTTTGTAATATTAACCATTCTTACATCACAAAAGGGCGCAAGGGGTCTCTGCCAAATATACCCCGATATGTCACAGTGAAAGTTGAAGACCCCATCTACAGAAAACGTTCTCTGTTTTTTGGGGTTTTTTAGGGGTTGCTTAAGAGACCTTCTCTCACGCCTTAACTGTGATTTTTAATTTTATTTGAAAATAGGGAAGGGAAGGCTGCTAAGCCTGGGGCATGTTTTTAAAACTTCTCCTTATGTTTTGTACATAATGTACAGCATGCTGGAAAATTTCAGCACATCGACACAATGTTCTTAGAAAATAGCAAAATGAAAATACTTTGAAACACAGGGACTATCTGTAATTAGTGTGTTTCGATAAACAAAGGACACTACCAATCATTCAATGAGACTGTAAGCAATACTGTTGTAGAAGCATAAGAGATACTTATCATTGAAATGTGAAATATCCATAGCCTATATATACTATATATCTGCTATATATTTAAAAACCAACTGAAAGGATGTTGTCAATAAAAAAAAAAAAACATCCTGAAGGAATTTGTAAAGTGTTTGCATACTGTTAGGAACTCTTTATAAAAGAGAAGGTTGAGCAAAATAAAAGCTATTAGCTATGTGAGAATAGAATAATATAAGTTGTATATCACTAATGAAGGCAAAAGATCGTCTGTATCTGCTATGCCTCTTGTACAAGTTAAGATGTACAGATAATTGCACTCCTCCTATGGGTGGAGTCAGTTTAAAGGAACATTTATTAGTGTTGGTGAAAAACATTTTTTTTGTTATAAGATAACTTCTCAAGTTGACAAAACTTCACAAAAGGCATAGCTTCCCCCAGTAAGATTTGTCACTTAACCCCTTAAGGACACAACTTCTGGAATAAAAGGGAATCATGACGGAATATTTCCGTCATGTGTCCTTAAGGGGTAACATTGCTGTCATTAGTGACAGCTGTTGAAATAAGGTATTGTCTCGCTCATCACTAGATAATATCTGTGGAGGTTCCCGTGGTCTTGTGGGATCTTTCATAAACATAAGTTTGTACTCTTCTGCAAATTCGAAAATCTGTGCGGTACAGAATCAAAAAAAGTATAACTCACGTCTACTGTAACCCCAGCCACTGCATTCCAAGAGGCAATGTCACCAAAGCCTTTGTAAAATATGCAAAGACCCCAGAAGGTGACAGAGACACATTAAAGCCCCCTTTTAGTTGCCAGGCAATTATATCGCACACATTCACTTTAGAACCCTGGGATTTTTCGGAAAACACAATTAATATGTTACATTAATCTATCATTTAATTCTACTAGCTTTCCTCGGACGTAGAAACTTCTTACACAACTAACAGAGCATAGCTTTGTTATAATAAGAAGAATTCATTGGGCATCAGTATTGTAAAATTTTATTGCAAAGTCAAAAGGTTATGAATAGTTTACCATTCAGTTCGCACACCATAATTTTATTTAATAAAATATGTTTAGTTCAGTAAGTGCCGTTGATGTGAAGGAAGTATGGTATTTATTGTGGTTAGAGTAGTAAGTTCTGTTCTTTTTAAAGAGTAAGGGTACAAAGAGGCAAACAGAATTTATTAGGGACCTAACCTAACAAAATATGCATTGCAGGCCTGAATAATATAATAATGGTTTTATAGACAATTATCAACAGGCCTGTAAATAGGCATACTTCTTCACACTTTTGCCATGCCTACTTATATATACCCATAAGTATTTTATTGGATAAATGTGAATGTTAATGTTTCACTTGGTTTTAAAATCCAGGTGGTGAAATAGTTGACCTCTGTAAAAGAAAGCCATGGAATTATGAGAAGAGGAACTGCTTGGCCAGGTCTGAGAACCCAAACTATCAGGAGAGGTTTAATATTGCTGTATATACAGTATTGATTTTGAATACTGTTATATGTGGTCTGTGGCATCACTAACAGTGGACCTAGGTGACATTAACAGGTTGACTGCCAAGATTCATTCAATGGGGTTAGTTAGGAGAAGAATATAAAAAAAACAACTAATTTTGGTAAAAAAATTAATTAAAAAATTGCATTCTAAAGTATATCAAACCGCAAGTTTGATTTGTTTTGGCCTGAGTGTTTTAAAAACCTTAATATAGATGAGAAGGTTATTGGGCTGTATAATGGCAAATTCCCATTGTACAGCGCTACGGAATTTGTTGGCGCTATATAATAATAAAATAATAATAATAATAATTAAAGGATCACTATAGGGTCAGGAACACAAACATGTATTCCTGACCTTATAGTATTAACACCACCATCTAGCCCCCCTGGCCCCCTCATGCCTCCATAAATCTAGTAAAAATCTTACTGTAGTCAAGCCAGAAGCTTTAAATCTGCATGCTGTTAGACTCAGAAAAACAATTAGTCTGCTGACATGTGGTAGCCTGATCCAATCACAGTGCTTCCCCATAGGATTGGCTGAGACTGACAAAGAGGCAGATCAGGGTCAGAGCCAGCATGATTCAAACACAGCCCTGGCCAATCAGCATCTCCTCATAGAGATCAATTGAAACAATGAATTTCTATGAGGAAAGTTCAGTGTCTGCATGCAGAGGGAGGAGACACTGAATCACAGGATGCTGTGCACAGTGCTGCCCTGTGCTCTGCTGACAGCAGATCTGAGTGAATGGAGGCATATTATGCCTCCATAAACTCCAAAGTCCCTCTGGTTCACTCTGACTGCAACTGGAGGTGTTCCTTGCTTTCAATGTAAACACTGTATTTTCTCAGAAAATACAGTGTTTACATGAGAGAGGCTGCAGGGAGCTATAGTTCTCACCTGAACAACCTCATTAAGTTGAAGTTGTGCAGGTGACTATAGTGTCCCTTTAACCCCTTAAGGACACATGACATGTGTGACATGTCATGATTCCCTTTTATTCCAGAAGTTTGGTCCTTAAGGGGTTAAGGTTTTAACCTTTCCAAATTACCTACTGGGTGCAGAATAAAAAATAAAGAGATAGTAGAGGTTAGCACATCTTATTTAACACCTCCATGCTCTTATAATGACCCAACTACCAGTTGGTTTGGTGAGGACCTCAGGGGCCCAGTTCCAAAAGCTTATGGCTTCCCAGAGTTTGCACATTGGTAGATGTTTTGGAAGGTACCCTGATGTGGCTAGAGGGGATGTTTAGGAATGGTTTGACTAAAACTCAGGATCCCCCCCATACCCATAGCCTGCTCTCTCACCTGCCATTTGATGCCAATCTCTGTCTGAAGCTGTCTAAATATGGATAGCATTGATAAACTGAGAGTGCTAAGCTAAGTTGCCCTGAAGCAGTTAGAGAATCTGTAGGTTTGGGGTAGTATTAGATGGACTTATCTATATATTCATACCTACTCATGCCCTATTCTAATACAGATAATGCCATACAAGCACCAAGTCTACATTAGACTTGTGGAACCTATTGTCTCCCCCCAGCCCCCACCTATGAGTGGCGGGTGGGGACCCTAAGTAACAAAAGGAGGGGGGAGACATATTGTCCTAAGTAAAATGAGGAAGGGGCAACCTATTGTCTCCCCGTCTCCCGGCCACACTCATGAGCGGTGGGTGGGGCCCTCAGTGACACCTCAGTGA